GCCCTCCCCAGGCTCCCAGGGCTGGAGGAGAAAGACGCAACGCAGGGCCCTCCTTCCCACAGCCTCGGGATGTGGGTGTGGGGTGCACACCAGACACACCCCTCCCTGGGCAAACAAACGCACCCTCACGCCCGGTGCGCTCACCCAGTCTCCCGCCCAGGTGTGGGGAAACACCTCAGGGGGGCGGGACAGCCAAGGGGGGAGGGGACAGAAGCGGGACTCACCGTCAAACTCTGCCTGGCCCACGCCGATGATGATGATGGACATGGGGAGCTTGGCAGCCTAGCAGTGGGGGAAGGGTGGACCCCGCAAGGGCCAGTTAAAAGAGAGACGGTGGGCAGAGCCAGGGAGGTCCGAAGAGAGGTGGGAGGGCAGGGGCGTGGGCGATGAGAGGCACAGAGAAGGGGGAGGGAGAGAGGGCACCCGGAGACAGAGACCAAGGGAAACCCGGAGAGGAGTAGGGGATGGCAGAGGGGACAGCGTCCCAGTCTGCTTCTATGTGGCCCCTCTTCCATGTGGGTCAGAGGCAGGGCTAGGAGGACTGCAGCGGCCCCTACAGGGAGGCCCCGGGTCGGAAGCCTCGTGCCTGACTGCCTCCACTCTGGGCCTCCCACCTCTCTACTGGCTGGGTGAGGATGTGGACCAGCCGGCCTAGAGATGGGGAGCAGCCCACCCCGTGCGACTGAGGGCTCACCGGCCAGGTGGCTTGTCACCACTGTCACACTACCCACAAATCCCTGCCTGGCCCTCCCAGACTCTGCAGCCCGAGGCCAAGAGCTGGAGGAGGGAGCGGAAAGGAGAAGCCTAGCCCACGCGGCTGGGGAGAGGCCAGGGGAGGAGGGGAGCCTGGAACGGGGCCTCGCTCACGTTGACAATGGCCTCCTTGGTCTGCGCCATGTCGGAGATGACCCCGTCCGTGATGATGAGCAGCACCGAGTACTGGGAGCCGTCCTGCACAGCCGCCGCGCTCCTGGGCAGGGCAGGTGCGGGCTGGGGTTGCTGGGGTCGCGGCTCTGGGCCTGCCCCCCACAGGACCCTGAACACTGGTGGGGACAGCTCTTCAGGCTGAGGCTGGACCCAGGTCAGGGCTCCCTGCCGAGCCTGTGGGGAGGGACAGTCCCTACCACCCTCCGCGGGTGATGGGTCCTATGGAGACCAAGGTGTTCAGAGCCGTGGGGGGAGCGAGTTGCCGGCCTCACCTGGCCACGTGGGTGACGACGGGGGCGAAGTTGGTGGGGCCGTAGAGCTGCACGGTGCGCAGGCTGCGGTGGTAGGCCTCCAGGATGCCGTCGATGCCGCAGCACGAGGGGTTCTCCTGGTTGCCGTTCTGGGGGCACACGGGGTGGGGAGGCTGAGCCCAGGAAGGCCGGGTGGGGAGCAAGGCGGGGCAGGCCAGCCTGGGCTCCCTTGGACTCCCCTCTGGTGGGAGGGTGGCAGGGCAGGAGGGAGCTGCCAGGGCTCACCCTGAAGGGTGGCGTACGCCCCAGGTGACCCAGGTCCAATGTGCTCCTTGCCCCACTCCCCCTCAAAAAGGCACCCCAAGAGCCCTGGCTGTTTCCCACCACGCCCTGAAATGAGCAGCTCAGGAAGGGCCATGGCTGACCCGTCCTCACGTGACCTGTGCCCAGCACCACGCTGGCGCTCTCTAAATGCGGGGGACATCAGCTCTGACGTGCCCCCAGCTCATGGAGAGGAGGGAGGGAGGGCAAGGAGGCCACCTGAGCTGTCCCACAGGGCTCGGACCCCGAGATGAGGCCACGTTCACAACACTCAGGGGAACCCCCATCCCAGCTCTGCACCTACCTGGGAGCTCCTGGGGCCCCCATACTCAGCCACACCCCCTTATCTTCTTTCTGGGGCCCTGAGTGACAGATTGGCTACACTGCTTCACCTCCTGCTGTGTTTCAGGATCTAGGAGCCTAGAGCCAGCTGTGGGTGGCTTCAGACATGGAGGGGAGGCGTTCATGAGCTGGGAGGGGAGCAGGTTTCTGGAGGCCTCAAAGCAAGCCCCTACACATGGCAGGCACCTTAAATCCCTCGGCCCAGAGAGTGGAAAAGGCGCTCAGGGCCACCCCCTCCAGGACTTGCCCCCACCCCGCCTGTACTGCCGGGACCTCCTACCAGCGGGAACTCGTGGGACACCCGGCCGTCGGGGGGCAGCTTGGCGCCGAAGCCCAGGGCGGGGAACATCTTGTCGCTGTCGTAGTGCTGGATGATCTCCCCAACGGCGGTCAGCGCCAGCGCGTAGGCGTTCAGCTGGTAGGGGCTCATGTAGTGCAGGGACGTGGACTGCGAGGGGTTCCCTGTGACAGAGGACACGGGACACCTGCCAGCCGCACCCTCCACGCCAGGTTCAGGACGCAGCACGGGGTGCCCGAGAGCACCCTGACTGATGGCCCCAGCTCCCCTCTCTCTCTCGCTCACATTTAATCCTTCAGTACCTCCCGGCTGCTGACCTTCAAAGTAGACCCAGAACCCCACCCACCTCCCTCCATGACAGCCGGCCCTCTGGCTCACAGGGCTGCACGGCCTCGGCCTGGCCTCGCTTCCCCCTCTGCCCTTGGGCCTCTGGTCCACGTCAGCATGGGGCCAGTGAGACTGCAGTCAGGACGCCTCTGCCCTGCCTCGGGTCAAACCCCAAGTCCTTCCCAGAGCCCACGAGGCCCCGCGTGATCTGGCCTCCAGTCACCAAGCTCCTCAGCTCCTGTTGTCCTCCTGCCCTCTCCCGGTCCCGGCCTCCACAGCTTCCAGCCAGTCCCACCTCAGGACCTGGCATGGCCGTTCCCTCTACCGGGGACACTCGGGCCTACTCCCTTGATGTCCTGGGTATGTCCACGTGGCCTGCTCCCTGGAGGCCCTGCGGATCTGGCTGTGCTCGCCTGTCACCTCAGCGCAGTCGCCCCCTAGCCTACAGAAAGGGACAGCCCCCACCACACTGCTCACCCCCTTCCGGGCCCGACCTTCCCCTTAGCCCTGTCACCACTCACACTGTTCATGTTTACGTACCCTGCTGGTTAATGCGGCACAGCCACACCGACGCCAGGGTGCCCGCCCTGCCTACCTCCCGCCGGCCCTGTGACTGCCCGTCGGGCCCTTTGCCTCTCTGCCTCGCCTCCGCAGCTCTCAGCGGGGATCACAGCGGTTCCCTGCCCTCCTCAGAGGGTCGTGGTGAGGATTGAGCCGGGTTTTACGGCTGTGATTGTGACCAGTCACCGTCCATGCCTAGGGTCTCTCCCAGCTGCCCCAGCCCAACGCTCTGCAGTCATACCGGGGTTCCTGACATCTGGGGAGGGCAAGGCCTGGGCATCCTCTGACGGGCACTGAACACTGCCAGTGGAGGTCAACCCCAAGGGAGGCTGTGAAGTCTCTAATGGTACAGAGTCTGGCTTTGTGACTACAGGTCACGGGGCCACAGCTGATGCTGGAGAAATTCAGAGGAAGAAAGGAAGCTGGGGCAACCCCAGGAAGAATGGGTGTCTCTGGGCTGGGTTCCTGCCCGCCCCAGGGACCAGAGCTCAGGCTTGGTTCCACCTCTCCTCGCCAGCCTGTGTGTCGGACTGCCCAGAGGAGGCGGGCTTTGATCATGATCCCACAGCTGTCCATGGGCCGAGGGGAGGCATGGACCACTCACTCCCCAGGGAGACCAGTATCCCTTACAGGGAAGGCGACGGTTCAGGATACGCAGCCCCAGAACCTGAGGCGCTGCCAGTGGTCTGGCCTGAAGATACCTCCACCATTTTGGTTGGCTCTTTGGTCCCCCAGGCCCTGGTACTTCTCTGCTGAGGAAGAGGCCAGAGAGTATGGAGGGCCTGGCTTCCAGCCTGCTTCAACCCCGACAGCCCTGAGGAGCCTCCTCCCCCTGAGCTTCTCTGTCCGTGCCCCACTCACCATTGGAGGCGGTGAAATCAATAGCCACCGTGAAGTTGATCTGGGTCCTGGAAAGGGAGAACAGCGGGGAGTCCCCTGGAGAGGCAGGCCGTGGGGAAGGCGGGCAGTGCTGGGCAGTGAGAAACCGGGCTGCCTCCCTGGCTCCTGCTCTCCAGGGCGTGGCCTTAGCGAAGTCCCCTATCTCCTGTAGTCTGGCAAACAGGGAGAGGTCGCCAGCCCTGCCCTCCTCCGAAGGACGGTCATGAGCACCGCCAGCAGGGCTGCGTGAAAGGCCCTGGAGGCGGTTTGGTTCTGTGTGGGCATGTGGCTATGACGACTCATTTCTTCCCTAGACCCCATCGCCTGGGCCACCTGGGCTGGGGGGAGGTCGGGTGTCACTGGATTTCTGGCTCAAACTTGGAGTCAGATCCAGGGTGACACTTGCCAAAGAGTCAGTGTGCGTCACATAGAGGAGAAAAACACACTTCCCATGAAGTTGTCTTGCTAAAACATAGAACCCGAATCCCACTGAGCCTCCAGCGCTATCTCCCAGGTGTGCATAGGCAATGAGGGATGGGGAGATGTTAAATGACACCACAGGAGATGCAACCGGTAAATCCAGTTCCGAGAAAAATCGCAGGAGGAGCTCAGGGGGCCCTCTCAGCCCTGGCGTAGCGCTGTCAAGAGAAGGGCCCCTCTAGCCCCCTAGCCCAGTGTGGTGTATGGGTCACCCAGAACTTGTCGGGAATCTCAGGCCCCTCTAGGACTACTGACCCTGAATCTCCCGGGGTGCAGTTTTAGCAAGCTGTTCTGGTGCTTGGAGGAACCAGCAGGTGAAATGAACAGAATTAGGAGACGAATCCACTAATTGCCAAACGGGGATCTTGCCTGGATTTCTGATCCCAATACACCGATTAAAAACTTTACAGACCACTGGGGAAAGGGGACGCTGACTCGCTATTTGGTATTACGGAATTGCTGCTTTTTTGTTTAGGTGTGATCCTGGCATTGTGGCTGTGTCTGACAAAGAGAGTCCTTACGTTTTGGAGAGACCCCCTGAAGTCCTTGGAGATGAATGTAATATGGCTGGTATTCGCTTTGGAGTAACAGGGTGAGGGGAGAGCTCATGGAGCAACACCGGCTGTGAGTGGGTAATAGCCGAAGCTGGATAAAGGGGCCTTGGGGGTTGAGCATACTGGCTCTCTGCTTTTGCATGTGTTTGGAATTTTTCCATCATAAAACATTCGTTTCTGAAGGATTCCGATTCCGATTCCGGGCTGGAACTCTCTGCGGGCTTGGCTGTTTGAGCTTCTGTGCCAGATGCAGACAGAAGGAAACTGACGGAAACACGAGCCTAGGATAGTCTTATGAACTGCACTGTGACAAGCATAGCCTCACCAGGGGAGCTTGTTTACAGAGAAGATTCCAGAACCCCCATCCAGAGATGCCAATTCATTTGGTTTGGTTGGCGCCCTGGAATCTACTTCTGTAGCAAACATCCCTGGCCCTGGTCCAGGGATTCTGAGGACAGGGTTCTGGGGTCCCACCTGGGGAAACTCTGCTGGTGGTTCTCGACTGGGGCTAGGGATAATGTCAGATGAAGCAGGCCTCCTCTCACCTGCAGTGAACCCTGTCAGAAACCACAGTTCTCTCTCCCCCGATCACAGCTGAGCTGCTGCACAGGGAACCCTAGTCCCCCAGGAAAAGTCAAGGACTTGGTTAGCAGCAGACCCAAGGCAGGGTCTGCTGGCCAGAGCAGTCCCTCGTGCTGGCTGGGGGTGGAGCAGGAGCCATCAGACAGCAAGAGCCCTGGGTCCCTGAATGACCGTATGGATCGTGCCCCACCACCTCATTCCACCCTGCCGTCCCGCAGGTGGGAAATAAACCTTCTTGTACATTAAGCCTTGAGGTTAGGGGATTATTTGTCACCGCAGCTGTCCTAAGCACATTCACCTGCTATTCTCTGCTGTCTCTCAGTGCGGAATAAGGAGTGTGTCTTTGTTAGGGGAAGGGAGACATTTGGAGAATAAGACCCTCAGGAGGCCCAAAGGACAAGAGCTGAGAGAGATCATCAAGCAGGCTCTTCCAAACACAGGGTGATGGGAGAGGCAGGCCTGACTCCTTCACTAGTCTCCCCTGCTTCAGTCCTGAAAAAACTCGGGAAGGAAGTGTCTGGAAAACAGGTACTTTTGGGGGACAGAGACTGCCTATAGGCTAATCTCTCCTGCCTGCCGGGAGAGACAGGCTGGCTGGGAA